GAGTTGAGATGGGGTTTTATCCCCTAACTCAACATTGCTTAACAGGCGATCGAGTGCTTGCCTATCTGAAAGCGAAGTGCATCGCAGTACCTCTTCCTTCAACTTGTCGTAAGGTGCTTCTGTGCTGGGATGAACGATGTATTGCCGTACCTGCTCGGCGACTTCGTCTGGTAGTACTGTACTCAAAATGCAGAATTTAGCTGTCTGTGACGTTAGCTTATTGCTAGCCAAATAATGTTCCAGTCGAGCAAACCAAAGATGAGGGTCTCTGGGCTTAAAAACTGGTACAGTAAGAGAAATAGTACTAACAGATCCCAGCTCTAAGTTATCAGAGGTATTGGAAGACATGTTACAATTCGTAAAAAAAAATGGTTTAAGAGTAGGAAAATGGCAAAATTTGTGCACAATAAGAATATGGCAAAACAGAAAAAATGCAATGCAGGTGCTTACCACAAATTACTGCAGGTTGTGCTATGAGCAAACACAAAAATGAGTTCGAATTGTTTAATGAATATATAAATCCGCGAAAGTTAGAGTTTTAATAATCCAGTAAGTGTAAAGACACGTCGAGGTCAAAAAGTCGTCGTCGTCGGAGTCAGCAATTTGTCGTCGGGGCTCACCAATTTATTGCGTGTTCTATTTGACTAAATGAGCGTACACGTATTTCCTAGTACTTCTTCACGTTTATCAATGTGCGCAGACGTTGTGGCTACTCGATGCCCACAACGTAAAATCAGAAGGCACTTGTGAAGAGTATAATCGTGTATTATAGCCGTAGTCAAATTTCGAAAAAGTATCAAGGTAACGTTCAACAGTAAATTGGCAAATGTTTACGAAGTACATATAAAATCGGTATGTGTAAACATATAATATGAGTATGCAAATTAGATTAAAAACGTATGTTTATAGTTGGTACAGGGGTACTACAAGCTTACATCATATGTGAACAAAATTATTTGTGTCTTGTCATACTTAACTTTTTTCTCATCACCCACATCGTCTTATCAGTGTTTACCTTTTTTTCCCGTCTCCAGACGCCATTTTTGAAGCGCATGACTCTCTTTTCTTTCTTCTTCTCTTTCTTATTAGGACTTTACACTTCTAAGAAGTTACTTCACTGAATTAGTCCTTCTTTATTTTATAAAGCTTTAGTCCTTTCACCCCTTACTTGATGTGCGAAATGCACTGCTACAGTATATGTTGGGGAAATTTCTAAAAAGGTGGATGTGCTGATGAAAAAAAGCAGGAGTTTCGTACACCGTTTCGAGGAGATTGTGTTTGACTTCCTCTGTTAAAAATTGGTCTTGTTTTCGAAACTGAAAGATGAAGTATCTAGGTTAGCCACTTCCAATTTTTTGGATATTGCTCTAAGAACTCACCTTTTCGTGCTCGGTAACACCAAACAATATGGATGAACAAATGTGTTGCTAAAACCATCAACAGTTCTATATATTAGATCACCTCGTCCAAACATGCAACATAGCCAGCACAGAATAGTCTTTCTCTCTCATCTACCAGGTAACGAATCAAGTACCAAAAGCCTCTAGATGACGAAAACTCCGAACAGCAGAGACCTTAGCAATTAGCCTAAATCAAATGGAACGCCGCATACAAAATAAGCAGATCTAGCCACTGTTGCTATCGTGGCCTGCTATCAAGCCCATTAATGCATATTATCTCATAATGATGATTTTGAAATGTAATCTGTCTATTGTTTCTATTGATTCAACGTAACTTAAAAACATTGATATCGTTAATAGTAATATTTCTATAGTTTGATTTGTAAGGATTAGTTATGTTTTACGAGTTGATCACGGACTGATATCAGTTAGAGAACCATTGAAAACCAGGGAGTACTGGACAGCTGCTGTTTCATCCTAGTTTGGGAATCATCGGCAGTACGCACCCACTGGGATTCGAACCCAGGACCTTCCGGTTACAAGGCAAGCTCGTATACCATTCAGCCACTGGGACCCGATTCAATGGCTCATGAATTCTAACTTCTACCAGTACTCCCTGGTTTTCAATGGTTCTCTAACTGATATCAGTCCGTGATCAACTCGTAAAACATAACTAATCCTTACAAATCAAACTATAGAAAATTATTCTGATGCTCGCTAGTGACTTGCTACAGGTTGGAGCTTCCTGCAGTTCTAGTGAGAAGTCGTGACCAGTGAGGTCCAATTAGAAGTCACGTGTGGATGGATTTCCACCAACGACAATAGTTGGGGTCGCGCTAAAATCACGAATTGGTAGAAGTTAGAATTCATGAGCCATTGAATCGGGTCCCAGTGGCTGAATGGTATACGAGCTTGCCTTGTAACCGGAAGGTCCTGGGTTCGAATCCCAGTGGGTGCGTACTGCCGATGATTCCCAAACTAGGATGAAACAGCAGCTGTCCAGTACTCCCTGGTTTTCAATGGTTCTCTAACTGATATCAGTCCGTGATCAACTCGTAAAAGTAATATTTCTTGTAAAACCTGCTGACGAATTTATCGAAAAGCATATTCTTTGTTCATTAATCAGCCTTTTAGTCGAAAACGTCATGACAAGTTTGTGAGGGAATACTGTGAAACTTAAAAAAAGCCATGTCCTGATGGATGCTGTTCTCAATAGTGTTTTGGTGGTTGCCTCTTATGTATTGCCCTTCACTTTATCAGTGGACCATACCAAAAAACAAACAAAAAGATTCAAATGTTCAGGGTCTAGGGGATACTGTTTTGTGTAGACCTTAAAGTTTTAAAATTTTTATTTGGCTTGGTTAAATATCAGAAAATTTACTGAAGTAAACTGTATAGACGAGCTCGCCTTGTAACCGGAAGGTCCCGGATTCTAGCCGCAATAGGTGCGTCCCAAACGAGGACAAAACGGCCGTCTAGTGCTCTCATGCTTTTAAATGGTGCTCTAACCGATATCAGTTCATGATGAAGTCTTGAAATCAATCAGATCCGTTCAAATTAACACTTTAACTCCCTTGGTGTTGACTTTCCTCTCAGTATTTTTAACTTCCCTTTAAAAAAGTTTTGTAATTATATATGTAGATGGGTCATAGGGTCTTAAACAGAACACTTATTCTAAGTTTACAGGTTTCTGTCTCTGATGAAATTCAAGAGGGCAGAAATATAATTCAAATAGGGACTCATATTGACATAAAATATGAAATTACAGGGCACTAATATTCCAAGTAGTATCATACCAATTTATTTAGAGGCCATTTTAAGTACCTGGATGATATATTTTAAGTAATATATTTAGCAGCTGGCAACTGGCACAATGTATCTTTTCTTAACCAAGTCTTAGAATTGTTGGAAGTCGGTCACAAATGGATACCTCTTTCACAATCTTTCATTTTTTTTTCCTTCACGTTCCCCAGTGGAACATAGGGCGTCAAGCCAATGGCTTAAACTTTCTGTACCAGTGTTTATTTTACAGGATGGGGTTGTTAGCCTCATGCCCAACCTTTCCTCTTCACCAGCATTATTTCTGGCTTAGCGAAGTAAAGGAGTGCGTCGGCCGGGGATCGAACCCCGGACCATGTGTATGGTCGGCGAGCATCCTAACCGCTGTACCACCGACGCACACAATCTTTCATAAAACAGACAAAAAAAATGAGAGCATCACCGAGCCCAGAGCCGTCAGGAGTCACTGCGAATACGTTATCTTGGTAAATGTTGGGGATCCACTTGTATTAACGACTATCAACTACTAACCATCCACATATTCCGTCCAGTTCACCTTTATAACAATTACCGGGAGACGTCTCATTGATGATACTATCTTCATTACAGTTGTTATTAGTTGATTAGTAAATCACTTCACTTAGCTATATGCTTCGTCAATTTATTTCACTTTTCTAGAATGAATCCCCTACATAAGTGCAATTAAATATTGATCATTTCATAGCTAAAGGAAATAATACTATGACTGAAGATTCTATCTGTTGAAATATGAATGTTGGATACTGTTTACCCTATGAACTTTTAAAATAAATTTTATTTTTCATAGCTGATAAACTTGTTACCATAAGCAACACTCAAGTTTATTTTATCCTACATCTCACTAATCCATTAGTAATACTATTACTACTACTACTACCAATAATAATAGTAGTAATAATAATGGGGCATCTTGTGTTGCTATAACATTGCTTCCTTATAATAATTAAACACAAAACAGTCAGATATGCTCTAAGAGGGAAGAATCAATAACCAGAAGATACAACAAAGACAAAGTATACTAATTAATAATTAATTGATGCAATTAAAATATGTAATTAGAATGATACTGTATTCCTCATAACTCTAAACTAAGAAAACTTACCACAAAGAAATACTTACCAAGTGTTGGTTTGCGAGGGATTTGATTGGTTGCAGATTTGATCATGAGTTGATATCAGTTAGAGAACCATTGGAAAACCAACGAGTGCTGGACAGCTGCTTCGCCCCAGTTTGGGACTCTTCGGCAGTATGCACCTATGGGGTTTTAAAACCGGGCTTTCCGGTTACCAGGCAACCTCGAGGGCCATTCAGTCATTGAGATACCATCAAATGGTCTATGAATGCCAACTCCTGCCAATTCTCTAGTGAGAAGTTGTAACCGGCAGGTTCCACCAAGTCGTATGACGGAACGGCTACTAGCCTTTGACACTGGCTGACGATTGTGCTGTATATAGCGAATAGGCCAAATTTGAAGTTCATGGGCGATTGGATTGAGTACCAGGGACTTAATGGTCTACGAGTTCACCTTTTAACTGGAAGGTCCTGGGTTCTATCCGTGGAGGGTGCGTACTTCTGAAGAGTTTCAAGCTAGGACGAAACAGCTGGTCAATACTATCAGGTTTTCCAGTGGTTCTCTAAATGATGTCAGTTAGCCATCAAACCTGTAAATATTTATCAGTCAGTGTATTACACAAACTGCAGGTATTGCGAAAGATAGAAGATATTGTTTGTGAATCCAACCTGCTTAGAATATCCTTTTTTGTTTTCTTCAATTTTTTATAGGCTTACTGGGAGGATTAGATTACTGTCCAAATGAAAAGTCGCTCATTTCAACGGAATCAGACGTTAAAAGTTGTTCACTTCAGACATTCGGTAAGGAAATACGAATTGTCATCTGATTTATATTCTGAAGTCGCTTGAATAATTCTTTCGTTTGTCGAATTAATAAACTTCACTGCCTCTGGATTGGTTTTAAAAACACTACTTAATGAAAGTTAGTGGGATAGTGTATCACTGGTTAGTAGATCATTTAATCCGCTACTCACTTCGATCAGTTTTCATTAGTTCACTGTTCCGCCAACCAAAAATCGGACGATCTACAATGAGTGGAAATGTATGGGAAAAACAGTAGTAACGTAGAAAACACATGAGGATTTAAGAGGTCTGGGAGGTTACGAAGAGTGAATGGATTTGCACCAATGAGAAGAGTGTTCAAATAACCCTAACCAGAGGATTTGAGTGCCTTAAGGATGCCGACCAGACATTCTACACCTCCCTATGTGGTTCAAAACCAACTGTCAAAAGTTTCATAGATTGATGCCGTGTCTGGCCAACCTCAAAACTTTCAACCTAATCCTATGTCAGATAACTTTGCTCATCAAGGTAAACGGAAGCTAAGGCATGCATATAATGTGTCTCACCCAACTCAGTCGACATAACTTCACAACCTCATCGATTGGCTCCACTTCCTTACTTAGAACTCTACGCTTAACTTCAAAACTACTCACCAATTTATACCAATTAACACAAGAGATAGAACGCAAAAATGTATGGTGAAACACAGTTGTGCTTTTCAGTTCTTCCACTTTCAGTGCCCATGTTTCGCAGCTATAAAGAAGGACAAGGTAGGTTGCATTACATACATCTTTTCATTTATAGTCAGATATCATGTCTATTCCAGAGATGACGTAAACTAACGAAACGCCACAGGAGCCTTCTGTATCCGTCCTGAGATTTCATCAGGAATCAGTGAGTTAGGGATGATGTGACTTCCCAAACAAATGAGGTGGTTAACACGCTCAACCACTTCATTACGTATTCTTGAAATAGATTTTAGTGCATACCAGTGCTGTGGCATCATACTTTGACACGGGCGAGTTGTATGCGAAAAGTACTAAGATTTTTGCTCAAGGTGTTGAGAAGACTGTGCATTTTGTCAGCGTCATCAACCAAAGGGACAATATAATGCACGTACTCTAATTCGACGAGACTGTTCCCTGGTAAAAAGTCAACTCCCAAGTCGACGAATTTGATTAGCGTCACATCTATTAGTACATCTATGATAAGATTGAAAAAAGCTATGGACAAAAGAATCTCTGACAAGCAACACTAGTTTTTGTCACTTCAGATGAAATCTTCCTATAAAACTTTAACTGACTGTGTGAGTTCGAGTAGATTGCCTTGATTAGTATGATATACTTTCTCGACATTAACTATACAGAAAAACACTGCTACAGCAATTCCCTGTCAACGGTGTGGGATACCACCTTCAGGGCAAGAAATATGGTAATTGTTGGAAGCCAGTAAGCATGTCTGTGTCTCGAGAACTACTCAAGGGTGAAGATATGTCCAACAAACTCTCCTCCTGACCTAAAGTCTTACTGGTTTTCTCGAGTTTGTTTCTCCTGAGCACCATTTAGTCTACGCATGATTATTGAACCTGGAACTTTATATATTATATAAGTCAGTCGAAACTTCTAGTGATTATCACAGGAAGACTTATACCCTGTTCTATAAACTAGAATAATCAATGAGTTAGACTCGGATAACCGGACTGTCTCTGATTCCAAGACACTACTTAGTATCTTAGTTAATCCAGGCAACTGTTTATCGCCATCATCCTTGAAAATTATCGGAGTCACACGTGTCACTGATTTACCTCGCCTCAGACTAAAGACAGCTCTCATGATCTCAGTTACAGTTGGAAGACTGATGTCCACATCCCATTCCGTAAAATGTTGGATGAGGAGTAAGCTAAATGTGACTTTAGGCCACTGAAATTGCTCCTCAAAATGTTCCCTTCAACATTCCAGTGTTCTATCCTGACCGGTAATTACAGCGCGGTTTTTCTCAAAGATTGTTTCGTTTATCATTTGCCCTTTCCAACCTGTTTCCCTATCGAACCAAAATAGTTGCCTGGTGCTACATACAGCTGATGCTTTTTCCATCTTCAATGCTTACTTCCTAAGTCTTGCTTAAGATAAATCGTAATTTATCCGACTCGTTACATAGTAGGTAAAGATGTTAAATTTCCCACATTTGGTGCCTTATTAAGACCATTCTCCAAATGACTTCTCTTCAATTTTGCTTTTAAATATTAGTATTGAAACAGTTCTTTCTGGAGGCTTGTAAGCATTTAATTTTTCTCTCAGATTTTCTATATTCTTTACCAACAATCTGTGTTGAATAAATTCGTAACCTTCTGCATACAGCTTAAGCTAGTATCATAAGGTTTAGTGGTCAATCTGTCAAAGACATATTTCATTTGGTTGCATGAAAACTGAGGAAAGTAGATGGAGTTCAAGAAGCAGTTTGAATTAAATTTGAGATTCATATCAGTCACTATCACTTCCTCAAACACATACTCAGGGTTTATTAAAAACGACCAGCGAATAAAATCAATGATTTCTAAACATATTTTATGAGCAGAGTTGTATAATATACCTTTTTACTTTGGCTATGAAGCTAAGTGAGTGATTGTAGTCACAACAAATTTGGTGAATTGTAGCATACTACTTACAAGTAGTCATGTTAAAATTGAACATACTGCTTCATATAAATAGTTAGGTGACACAGTTTGCTAAGGTATCTGGTTATTTCATGTCTCCATGTCTTGTTGTTAGTGATAAAGACTGAATATTAATGAGGATGTTTTGGCGAAAGCACGTATGACAAAGTTTCTAGAACTCTTCAGTAGGAAATTTATCAAGTGAATAAAAGAGAAGGAGTGATCGGTCCCACCTAACAAACTGATATATTAAAAGCATGCAAATACGATGAGAAGTATGGATGAATGCACACTGGCTGGAAGTCTGGAAACTGTGAGTGCTGTACCACATTCAGGCGTATGACCAAATGAAAATCTTTGCATAAATAACTGTCTAGTATTATTGCATTTTCAGTAGTGGTTGTCCTTGATGCAATAACTCTCTATGAAAATCAAATGTATCTAAAGAAGTAGCGTGTTAGTGGAGCTGAAGAATATTACGGGCGGGAGAATTTACCAGGTTTCATATTTCATCATAAAGATTTGGTACAAATGGTTTCAGATGATGAGACAAAATGATCGACGGGTTTCTAGGATTACCTCTACTTCTTCACCTGACGGATCTATTTGACCTCAACAAAAGATAGGTCGCATAACAGTTCTTTTCACCTTAAAAGAAACATATTAATTGTGCTTGAACGGTGAAATCACTTTTGTGCTACCAATTATAGTCTCATTAACTTGTGAAATACCTGGTTTCACAGTATATGCGCTTACTGAGGTCCCATTTCCATATCCGTCTTCACATGGAGGTTAATTTAGATAAACCACTTTTTGCTAAGAATAATGAACCCCCTAAAGATCATGTGACAATTCAAGGAATTCTGATATGTGCTTTGTCTTCTAAGTGCAAAGAATAATTTTAGAACTCTTGTACATCCTTACCCTTTGTGACTGGAGGAGTCAAATTGATTGATCTCTGGGGCTCGATGTAACATCATATTTTTCCACAGTCAAATCCAGTGTCATAGGACTCTTAAGATCTTTCAAATGATGCCGGTAAAGTGATGAATCGAAATATTGGTAAAACGATCTTCAAATGACTATGTAAAAAATGTTTTAAATATGGAACTATATTGGATATATTTATCATTATTATTGTTCCCTTGGGTTCCTAGTGGAACATAGGGCTTCAACTGCACGTCTCCACTTGCTTCTGTCTTCTGCTATACTTTTCACCTGCATTCATATTAATCCATTCTGTTTCAGCTCTTCTTCACTCGATCTCCTCCATGTCACCCTTGGACGTCCCACTCGCCTCTTCCCTTTCGGGTTCCCCTCGAGCACTGGCCTGACGCGCGATGTCACCCAGCGGCCTCCTCAGCGAGTTTCCAATCCATCTCCACTTTCTCCTGCATATTTGTTGGGCGATTAGTTCTTGTTTTGATTGTTCCAATAGTTTCTTGTTCGTGATTCTTTCCGGCCATCTCATCTTGAGTATAGAGTGGAGACAGTTGTTGATAAAGTTCTGCAACCTGTTGAAAATATTCTTCGTGACCCGCCAAGTTTCTGATCTGTATAGAAGAACTGACTGACTTGACGTTTGTATTGAAAATCCGAATTTTGTTGTTGATGCAGGCTGAGTGACGAAGATTTCCAGATTGGTTTCAGGTTGATGAATGTGTTTTGTCGCCTTCCCGATTCTCGATTTGACATCCTCGTCCGTTCCTCCTGTTGGATATATATATATATAATATTTGAGACTTAGTCATCTTATTACATACTACCAGTTGAAAGTTTTGTCGGAATTCCTAGTGAAGAAGTACATTTTTGTAAACTCTATTGGGCAGTAGGTAATTTGGTGGATGGTAACTAGCGGTGGAATCCAGGATGTGCTTTTTTCCTTATTTGGGACTCGTTAGCTGGATGAAACTGCATTCCTTAGTGAATGATGGTGTTCCCACTGAAACTCAGACCCAGTACCCATTGTTTCAAACATCACAGCGCTATCCACTAGCCAACTTGGGCTATAGCACTTACCTCTTATGCAAAGAGAATCACTTAACGTTATTGGACAGCATTATAATACCTCTCTCTCCGTCTTATATATAATTATCTATGATCACGTGTTATTATTAAACCCGTATATTAATTCTGAAACTTCTTCAAATGGTTGATTAAAACTGTAATAAAAATGCAAGATCAAAATATTTTTGGAGGCAATCGACAGGAAGCCTTGGACCTAGGTTTTGTGCCAATCGGCACTCACTAGTCACCAAGGCGTATCTGAAACCTTGAAGGAACTCAAATCCCTTCTGAAACTCGAACCCGCGTCACCCAGCGCCACCTGCAGTTGGAGACGTTACCACTGAGCTGTTCGGGCTAGCGATTGAACCCCTGTAGGACTGTATTGCATGTATGTGATTGGACACTAGTAACCAGTGTGATGTGTTTAGTCCTATCTTTAGTGCAGACTGAATTTTATCAGTCAGCTTGACTGACATGCGTTCCTTCAGGCGTCCCTCCTACGCCTTGATGACTGGTGGGTGTCAACTAGCACGAAACTTAGGTCAGGCAAGGCTTCCTGCCTCCAATCATGTAATACCAACAATTCACAGTGCACCGTGATAGCGAGCCATAAAGGATGGTGGCCACATTGCAAACTTGACTGACAGAATTCAGTCTGCACGGAAGATAGGACTAGACACATTACACTAGTTACTAACTAGTGTCCAATTAAAAAAATATTTTTTCGCTTGTAATAGCAACCGTTTTTACTATATGGTCATTCTCAGCATGACGAATGTTCATTATAGGAATTATTAAAAAGACGGTTGCAGCATGTTCATTAACAGATTTTTCATGCGGTGTCAAACACTATTCAGAGCAAAACTGTTTTATTAAATACTGTGTGGTATACCTTTTACTTATATTTAAGAAACAATAATCTGTAGGTTGGATTAGTCGAAATTTTTTATACTTAAAAGTGTTTTTATGACTTCATATTAATTTTTTATGAGATCTATCGCGAAGTAAACCAGTATTATATACTGGATGACTTTTCAAACACAATTTTTTATTCATGATCATATCAATTAAGATGACATCAAATTTGCATGATTAGAATGTTTTCTCTCCATATGTAATAAGATCTTTGACACTGGTTGGAAAGATGCTACTTATTATGACTACAGATGCCTAGATATTCAATAACAAGGAAATGTCTCTGCACTCGTGTCTTGTTAAAGTTTGCTGTGGATATCAGTGTACTTATGTGCTCGACAAGTTAGCCAAAACTGATGCAGTAGATTCGAAGATTACTTATAGTCAATAGGTGACATTATTTTTAGTTGATAAGCAGGTTTAGTAATCAGTTATGCAAAGGTTGTTCCCAAGAAACATTGAGAACGAACGAATCAAGAACCTGTCGGACAGCTAAAACGCTGAAGAAAATGGAGATGGATCAGATACACTCTAAAGAGACCTTCGGATGATGTCGCACGCCAGTCATACTCTTGAGTGGGAAACGGTGAGTTGGGGTTGGCACCGATGGTGTCATGGAGGAGGTGGTATGCATAGGAGATGAAAGTTTATGGGGGATCGTGGAGCCAGATGAAGAGGACTACAGACAATCAGACAAGATAGAGACGTGCTGTTGAGGCCCTAAGTACCAATCCAAACCAAAGGAAACAATAATACAAAACTATAAAATGCAAGCGTTTAACGCTACCAGAACTTCTCAGGGTGCTTTAAACCCATTGGGATTTTTCTGATCATTAACGTATACAAAACAATTAACTGTTTAAATATATAAGTTATAATTCGCAAATCTTGAAAGGGACATAAAGTCACATTAGACTAATCGAGTTCTTTATTTTGCTTTATAAACTGCGTGAATCAGACCATATATCTGAGTTTACGAAAATACAAGGGAAGTACTTCTGTCTTCTTGTTGCAACGAACAAGAAAATAAGCAGTAAACATAATGAGAAGAAAATAACCTAGAATTCGATAAAATATAGAATATTATTCTTTGGACCGTGTTTTCCTAAAAAGGGAAATTTTATTCAGTGTTTCCGTTTATTCTTGTAAAATTCAGTAGACATTATTGACTTTCTTCTTTTATACGTCTGGGAAAGTGAAGTTTTATTTTTTTTTAATACAATCAATTCTTTGAGCCTACTGACTGAGAAACAAGTTTCGATATTGAAGTTGTGTTCAACTGTTCTGTAAATAGACTAGTGTAAGAAATATGTACCGATGTGCAGTTGTTAATTTGTCCATCAACACTAGACAGAAATTTATGTCAGTGCAAATATGAAGTAAAAATGAAATATTTAATAAAAAATGCGTATTCGATCATTATCAAAAGTCAGCCTGTTCTCACCTAAGAAGGGATTTTTGGAGTACGGCAGAATAAAAGTGATGTCTAATATATGAGAATGCAAAAAGCATTATTTACCGGATAATGTTATGAATGCAATTTACTGTTCACCAGTCTTAACCTACAGTGCGTCGGTGGCACAGCGGTTAGGACTCTCGCCAACCATGCACATGGTCCGGGGTTTGATCACCTGCCGACGCACACCTGATATCAATGGTCGGCTTGCAAACATTTGGGCTACCGATATCACATGCTGAAAATTCCATACTTGTACCAAAAATACGGTGTGGAATCAAGCTTTAATAAAAAATAAATAATGATAAGGTCCAATGTGAGGGATCAAGTCAGGAAGAAAGTCGATCATTGGGGTAACCCTTGTTTATCTGCTGGCATTGCAGAGACAATTTTTTACTGATAATTTCAAAAGTCTTTATAAAACAGTAATACTGGCTGAACTAGAGTTAGTTGAAGAAGAAATAACACGAATATTCAAAGTCTTTTACTGGTTGTCTACGCTATGTTGTTTTGGACGGAGTTCTCTCAGTGTTGAGAATCCTTGGTGAGAAACAACTTGGTACACAATCCTTCATTTGCAATCATCCTGAAAATTCTGGATATTTTTATATTCATCACGTAATTAATACCCTCCCAGTAACAGTTAAGTTTCCTCACCATAATACTATTCTGTTCCAGTCTAGTCAGAAATTTGGAAAGCTGAATTGATAGATTTCTGTGCCAAGTTCAATGTCAATCTGCCTCTATATTTAGTAAATTTAAGTTATGCTAAGATAATTTCATTTAGAAAACATATATTTTCATGTGAAACATGCACAGCTAATATTGTAATTTTTCAGCAAAGCTTTGTCACTATATCTTTAAGCTTTGAAATGTTCTCACTGAAAATATGGTGTTCGTTGGCGGCCGGCTTAAAACTTGGTCTACGAAAAACCCCCACCAGTATATTGCATATAGTTTCTTTTATTAAGTTTGTTTAAATCTAGTAAAATATGACCTTTAATAGTATTACTTACTGTGGTGAGTATTTAAATATTTACAACCTGCTAATTTGCATGTTTCTACTAAACTTGAGAAGAAGCATTATCCTCGATACTTTCAGCTTATCCTATTACGTGAGACGAGTGGTTCACAAAATGTACTCGTGAACTTTGTCTAATTGATATTCAACAAAAAGTCGTATATTTTCTTGGAGACAAAGAATAGATATCATAATGGATTGGCTTCAGGTCAGATAGAGCTGAGTCACACGATCTACTATCAATTGATCTTTTATCTGAAGATACAGGACGAAGAGAAAATATCATGCAGTAAACCCCACTGACAAGTTTGTACATCATATAAACACTGTTCAGAATAAAGCCATTATTATTATTATTCATCCGTTTGATTTACATAACATTTTGCAGTCGTGACTTTCAAATCTAACCACAGATTAATGTCAGTTAGAGAACCACTGAAAACTTAGGAGTGTTACACAGATTTTTCGTCTCAGTCTGAGCCTTCTCATCAGTACCCACCCATGACCCCACTGGGGATCGAACTCAGGACCCTTAAGTCACGAGACCTTGTTGTTTGATCACTTAGCTACTTCGGTCGGACCAATGAATTCTAACTACTGTCGATTCATAATTTTAGTCCGGTTGACATCGATCCGTGGTCAAGCTTGAAACAAATCGAGTCCCCATAAGCTAACTCTTGAAAATCATAACTTTGTCAACTAAATCAGTTTGTCAGCATTGTTCTCATCAAATTTTTATGACGTGAAGCCAAAAACCAAATTTACTGGTAAAATGCTGAAGTCTAACATTATATCAAAGTCAGGCATTCCTTGCTGACATCTCACTTTGAACAAGATATTTTTAACCTTGTACTATGAATGAAATACGCGGTAATTAAGGGAGATAAGATTATACTATATCGAATTAACGTTGCCATTCCATCGTCAGACAGTTGACATGCAACTGATAAAGTTTTTTATTGAATGTGTCAATGTTTTAACCAGTATAAATATATATACATATATTCTGTGTGAATGTTTTGTATCTCATTTTCATTTCAGAAGACAATTATAACGGAAATTATTTTTTGGACATAATGCGTCTCTTCATTTCGATCTTATTTATGCACCTTATCGCCATAACATCTATTGAGTTGTTCGTGTATTAGAGAGGATGCTCTGCATCTTCTTACTCACGGAGTGTGACTCCTTTAAAGAACGTCGCTTGTCTAATGCTATACGACTTTTGGCATGCTGACTATGAACAAAACTTTCTTTCCTATTCTTTTTAAGAAATCTAATAAATTTGTGAAAATAACTACAGACGATGCAAATGTGTGAGCTGCAACATCCAATAAGGCCTTAAATGTTTTAATCTGACTTCTAATACTTTAAGCTGACACTAATGCCCGGAGTGTTAGGCGATTTATTTAAAAGAAAATCTTTTCACTTTTAGTCAAAAGAAAGATAATATTTTAAAAAAAATGTTACAAATGTATGAATTCAACTCAAAAAATGTCTTTGATCATAGCTGCATACGACATGAAGGTCTTGAGGTCGAATTAATTTTCTCTGTTTCAAATAAAATAAGTTAAAGGAAGAAAAATTCTGTTTTAGTCAGATTATTCTGGTCAGCAGAATTTAGGACAATAAATCTGCACGTATTATTACTATTATTATTATTATTTAATATGACCATTAGTAAATAAATGCGTAAAGTGTAAATTACTGAAAATGTGCAATTATTAGTCACTTAATTGCTACGAATATCATGACTCTCATCCTTGGTATCAGTGCTGTCTGGATTCCATCAGTCAAGTTTACAATGTGGTCATAAACCTAAGCAACTCCTTATTGTGGTGATGGTTGGTTGGAGGAAAACTGCAGGAAGCCCTGGACCTAGATGTTGAGTTTATCAATACTCATTAGCAAGGCGTATTTGCGACCTTGAACCTACATCATCAGTGGTGCAATCACGGACATTGCCACTAAGCTATTCGAATTAATGGTACACCTAAAGATTCAAATTAAGAAATAAGTTTTTTTTTAGGTTAGGATACAACTAATTTTAATTCATACATGAACAGGTCAGAAAACATCAGATGATGAAGAGTCCCGAACTAGGCTGACGAAACAGCTATCCAATACTCCATTCAGGTTTTCCAGTGGTTCTCTAACTAATGTCAGCTCATGATGACTCCCTCCAATCAATCAAACACAATCTCTACAAAAACCACTATTTGAAAAAAAAACATTTTATCTAGTCAGGACAACACATTATCCCTTAAAATCTTCATATATATATATAATTTCTTTTTGATAATTACTAGACCCGTAGTATAGCTTAATTCATAGTGGTGAGAATTAGCGCTTACTGTTAGTTAACAAAAATGATGCATCAAGCACATTAGCATTTAAAAATCAGCAGCAATACATTCTCACATGATATGAATAGTTTCATGAACGAAAGACATAAAAGTCAATAACAGTAGTGTTGAAAGGTAAATTATCAATTATAAATGGAGTTGAGATTGTTGAAATGGCAGTGTGACAACACCAAGCGCATTTCACTTAAAGTAATGACTATGTTTTCGGTGAAATAATATCAATCCTGCATATTTTTATTCCGCTTTAAGACTTCAAACAAAGTGAAAACAAATGTTTGCGTGGAATTATATAGGCCATTGTCAGCAACCCATTAAGACTTAAATTGGAAAATTTAAACAAAGACAGGACTGATGCAATTCAGTGGAGCATCACAAATATATTGAGAGAGCTTATTAAAGGCAAATTAACTGACAATAGAGCCTACAATGACCTGAAACCTCAAAAGTCCTGCATGCCTTATATATACGGCCTCCCAAAATTACAAAAGTGAGGTGTTGCCAAGAGAACTATACTATCTTTGATAAATTCACTGCAGCACAAAGTCACTCATTGGCTTTCAGAGATACTGTGGTCCATCTGTCAACGACTATCTGCGTGTACAGTTAAGGATTTGTTCTATTTCGCTGAAAGCCTGGAAAATACAAATGATTCCAACAAGTTCATGGTATCCTTTGATTTAACCTTTCTATTTACACTGATTCATATTTTGAAACTGTCGATATCATGTGCCAGCACTGCTCTCCTTGCCAGCAGAGGAATTTAAACGCCTACTACTAACGTGTACAACGGATGCACAATTTCAGTTTCACAACAACCATTGTTCTCAAATAGATGGGGTAACTATGGGCAATTCACTAGGCCGCTGACTAGAAGATATCTTCATGTCAAATCTAGAGATAACGAAGCTGAAAAGGGTGATCGATTGGACAACTTCATACCGTCGATATGTAGATGACACTTTCAAATTATGTGATGATGAAAATCATGCATTTCATCTACTTTAAATGTTCAGTGACACACATGAGAATATTGACTTCACGATAGCACATGAAATTGGTGGAAAGTTCCATTTCCTCTATATTGCCATGTAACGTTTGGAAGATGGAAGTCTGGAGAGATCCTTCCACTGAAAATCCACCTGGAATGAACTATACTTAGATTTCAAGAGTTTTATCCAGTCAAGTACAAATGTGCATTGGACAAAACTCTATCGTACAGAGGCAGAAGAGTATGCTCCATAGAAATACTGGAAGAAGATCTCCTAGACATTGAGAAAGTTTTGAAAAATAATGGTTATTCATCCGAAATTCATCAGTAAGTGTGGAAGATCTGAAAGTTGAATAAAAAACCCTTTGGTACAATAAAGGGTTGATAAATACTCTTCCCACGTTAAATTTAATTGTGTGTACACATTTACGTGTCTGAGGGAGCAATTACACTGTGAGAACAGAAAGAAGAGCATATCTTAGATTCTCTGGGTATGCTTCAAAAACTGGAAGTCTCAAAGGAACAAATGCTATTGCCATAAGTCTTGTTGAACAGCGTAAAATCAGTCAGGATTATTAATAAGCAATGCAACTAAGCTCTCCTCAAATTTGCCGAAACAATCGCTATTAAACGCCTAAAATCTGGTTTCAGTGTTCAGAAAGATTCTTTTATTAGTCTTTCTTCGCCTTGATGACTCAACGTCTAATCTCCTTGTCTCTGTCGACTACATAATCTTTGGCTTTCTCCTAACTACCCACCCAATATTTTGCTTTAGTGAAATTTAGTTCTTTTTTGTTACTATGACTTGAGTTAGACCCACTACACTATTACTCATCATCAACTTTTGTCTTCTCGTTTTAACTGTTCAACTCAATTTTCAATGTATCCGACCATTAATTTTGCATGTTTGTAATCGGTTGAACATTGATCTCCTTCATAAGGTAATATAAATGGAACTTCTGAACACTGTTTATTAACATGTGTCTCTGTTTAGTCTTGCAGATATGGCAGAATTCTGTGTACATTTATATAATCAACTTTTAGGTTGTAAGCAGTTTAAGAGAATCCAACGAAATAAATTATAGCCTCATTATTATTCTGTGCAACCATTTGTTTTTGCTTCATTTCATGTCATTCCTATATGTCTATTACTGAACTTAGTTTTTGTCTGCTGAAAATCAACCACTGTGCGAATTATGAAAAATCGATCAGCGATTCTTAAATTTTTCTAATCAAAAGAACCATTTCACACTACTGGTAAGTAGTGTTTGCAATGAAAAAATAATTATAAAGTAAAATGAGATTCGCAGAGTGGATGTACTGACATTAGAACACTATGCCGTTATTTATCGTGATATTTTCAAATTAATCAAAATGAATGTGTGATAACTATCACTAGACAAAAATCATACACATTTTTTTAGTATTCAGTGGAGCAACCTGCTGTGAACCAAAATTTATTAGGAAGATCAATTCGTAAAACGCAATAAAACTTGGAGTTTAGCAAGAATGATTCTGTGTAAATGAGCGAATTCGGCTTTATCCGTCTTTTCACCAAAAATTTCGTCTAATTTTACTGTCAGATAATTTATATAGCTGTTTAGAAAGAGAGTAACTGGCTGCCACTGGATTCATTACGATAATATATTTGTCACGAATCAGTGAATTATGTAAGATTCGATTACACATTCATGCTATAGCGTCAGTTCTTGAATTCCTATTAGTGCAGTCTAACTAATTAACTAACTCAAAATGGATTTAATGAAATGTAGCACCTGATAGCTGTACAGAAATCAAGTTGGCTTGGATGAAGTTCTTTTAAATTACGCATAATATTTAGACTTGTTAATTGGTGACTTTTGTAAAAATTGAAAGTTAGTTTAAGGTGAAAACTCTTCGCTTTAATAGGTTGTGTTTTTGACAGATTACAAAAAAGCCTGAAACCTTTCAAGTTCTCAGGAAATTGATCGAATAGTTATGCTTACATTGAATTTCCTTATAAGATTATGCATTGCAAATGTTTTCACACAAGTAATTTTCCCAGGAATTTTCACTGAAGTTTTGTGATAAATTAATTGTCCTAAGTTCAAGTAAAATCACTTTGTATTTTCCTCAATCTTACTTCACAAAGTTTCTCGAAATTTTGAATCACCTGCTGAGTGGTAAAAAAAGCAAAAGATTTAATAAACTAGGTAAAATAATAATAAATTGTCCTAAGCCTTCAATCTGAACATATTACTTCATCTCGGGGATCCGTTTTATGTCATTTCTATTTTAAATCCTTTGAGTATGTTTTAGAATACATCGTATATTGATAGTTTACTAGTTCTCACTATTGTCGAAAATACCATATTGGTAATAAAAAAACTAGGCCGTTTCTATTTCATTAGGCAATCATTTTTCAGGAATTTAACTTTTTAATTCATGGAGATTTCACAGATGCATATCTTGCACTGTATTTTATGTAAATATTATTCTGCTAGATTTCAGGTGGAACATATGACTTCAACGGCACATCTCCATTTCATCTTGTTCCCTGAAATCCTTTTTTAGTCAGCTCCGTAAATGCCCATAAGCTTCCATTTCCACCTCATGCGATCATCTACATCTCACTGTCGGACATCCAACTCCTCGTTTCCCACTAGCGTTCCCCTCTAGGGCAAGTCACGTGGTGTCATTCAGCAGTCTCAACAGAGTATGCCAGATTCATTGCTGTTTTCTTCTGCGTATTCGCATCTTTTAGTCTCTTCGGGACGATGCTACTCAATATTAGGCTTGGCATAGACACAGGCACGATTTCGCGCCAGTTTCGGCAAAGGGTCAAGCTGCTCTTCTCTGGTAGTTTAAAAAAGGAGCTCTTCTTCTGACTGGCGGGTATCTTTACTTCCTTCTTGACTTTCTACAGTAGTGGAGTCAGCATTTCCACTATGGTCTCAGGACCCTTTTTTAGTGCTTTCGGAGGAGCTATTTCCGGTTTTGCTGCTTT